AGACCCACACCGTACAGCGACCAATCACAAGGAGCCATTGATTAATTTGTTAACTGAGACAGTATGTATGTTTGTACTGTATGAGTGTGTTCACTCTGGAAACTGACTGAAATTAAAAGGAACTGAAAATAAAAACTAAATTAATACCAAACTGTAATAAGTTAAGCTGAAGGCACAGAAGGTTTTACTGAAATGTTTAAATAATTATAAAAATAGTTTATGTTGATTGATTAATGAATCAAGTTATGTTTTGAGCTTCATGTTAATGAAACATTGACACAAAGTGGAATGATCACTGATGCAGAGTGTAGGAGGATTATTAAGTCACATTTACTGGAAGGGAGTTTAGTCATAATAATAATAAAAAGCAGATAACAGTAAAGTGGAGCTCAGACGACTGCACACGAACATCAGACATCACTACAGTTCCATGTGATCAATGTGATTAATGTGATTAATGTGATCAATGAGATCAATGAGATAGGAACAGATAAAACCTCCTCTGTGGGAGTCAGTGCTCTGTAGGACCTGTTGACCTTCTGCAGGTTGTTGTTCTGGGTTCACTTCCTCTTTAAATGCATCATCAGTTTAACATTGGGCCCATAAAAGCAGGAATTTATACATTTTTATAAGTTTTGATGTGTTTCACTGTCCCAAAGTCTTGAGGTCAGTTTTCAGCACGTATAAAACTATGGCTCTCAGGTGTGCACCACATTAACTCACCTAGGCTGAATATTGATCAGTGAATATCCGAGCCGGTCTGAATGAGGCTCTGAGTGTCGGACACATTACTGAGCAGTGGAGTCAGAGTTTATTTCTGTCCAGGAAGCACTCAGCATCGTGTGAAGGAGGTTGAGCTCTCAGATAACAGCCGTCAGAAACTGAACTAAAACAAGAACTGAAATCTCCAGTTTCTCATCACAAAGAACAAACACATGGCGTTCTGCAAGGCTTCATCCTGGGAACCGCAGTTCTCGTCTTTTATATAAACGCCAACTGTTAAAGTCTCAGGTACTCATTTTAGTCTCTTTCTGTCCAGCTGCTAAAAGATCTGTTTTTTTTACAGCGTTTACAGCAATGAGCTTAAAGAGCAGCGCTGACTGATTTTGAGGTTTCCAGCTTTGCCGCAGTCACCGGGGCTGATGGCGTCTGGGCTGATGGCGTCGGGCTGATGGCCCCCGCTCTGGATGATACTCGATACAAACTAAATTCCACCAGAAGGTCTGTTTTTGATGGAAGAGATAGGCCACGCCCACTTCCACCTTTAAATATTTTCCTACATTTTGGATTTTTGCTTCTTTTGCCACAGATTTAATCTAATCTTCACCAAACTCAGCACGCAGTGTGTATAGATAAGATCGCTCGCCGTCGGTCTGTAATTAGTTACCGCAGCTGTAATTTGATTAACGAGGAACTGGATCGCAGCCACATCAGTACGTGTTTGTAAAAGAGTATTTGATACAGTTCTACCACCAGGGGCCGCTACAGTGCTAGTGTACATACATTTCTGTTGTCTTTACACAGCATGGCAGCAATAGCTCCACCTTGTGGCCATTAATGAAAGCACACCATATCTCTGGAACTGTTTATTTTACTTCCTCTTTACTGTTATGAAGCCGTTTGAGCTGATTCTTTATGAAAGTTCCATATAAATATAATAAATAATAATATATAATAAATAAAGTTTACTATCATTATTAATATAAAATGAGAGCAGCACCAGTGACAGTGAGGGAGCTGGTGACCAGTTGGGATCCGTACTGGTTGGAGGCTTCACACTGGTAGTGGGCGGAGTCTTCCAGCAGGGCGGAGGAGAGGCTGAAGGAGAGCGTGGAGGAGGCGGGGTCAGTCCTCTGAAGCTCCACCCCCTCTCTCCTCAGCACCAGCGTGGGGGGCGGAGCTCCGTCTGAGCGGCAGGTAACTGTCACCTGCTGACCCTCCACCACCTCCTCACCTGGACTCACTGAGAGGGAGGTTCTCCTCGGAGGATCTGAAACAGACCAGGACTGGATTAATAAAACCTAGTTCTGAGGTTAAAAATTAAAAAAAAAACTATTTCAGCAGCCAAAAATACAGTTTTTAGCTTTATTTTTACATATAATTCTTTTTGTCTTTTTAATGTTTAATTAAATATATTTACAGTGTAAAA